GAAGAAATCACTTTATGACCTGAAACAATCTCCATGAGCTTGGTTAAACAGGTTTAGGGCTGCTCTTGTTCGGTTTGGCTACACTCAAAACTCAATCAGATCAGACCTTCTTTGTTAAGAGAAAAGACACTCTGGCGACATTTCTTATAGTTTATGTAGATGATATTGTGGTTATTGGCAGTGATATAGAAGAAGTTAGTGCTCTCAAGTTTCTCAATTCTGAATTTGAAATTAAAGATTTAGGGGAGTGTGGTATTTTTTGGGCATTGAGGTTGCTAGGTCCAAGGAATGTATCTTTATTTCTCAACGGAAGTATGTGCTAGACCTTATTGAGATTTGAAACTTGGTGCTAAACCTGCCTCTACCCCTATTGTTGTGAATCATAAACTCTTAACTAATGATGGATAACTTTTAGTTGATAGGGGAGTGTTTCAGAGATTACTAGGGAAACTTCTTTATCTATGTATGACTCGTCCAGACATTTCATATGTTGTGAGTGTCATCAACCAGTTCATGCATGCTCCCAGAGACACACATATGACTGCTGTAGAAAGGGTGTTATACTACCTTAAAGGAACCCCGAGGAAGGGTATATTATTTGCTAAACATGGACACATGAAGGTAGAAGCATATACAATTGCTGATTGGGCAAGAAATGTGGATGATAGGAGATCCACATCTGGATATTGTGCTATAGTAGCCAGAAATATTGTTTCCTGGAGAAGCAGAAAGCAATCAGTGGTTGCTAAATCTTCAGCTGAGGCAGAGTATAGAGCTATGGCCTATAGTGTTTCTGAGTTGTTATTGGCTTAGATCTTTCCTTAATGAGATGGGTGTTTCATGTGACGAGCCACTGATGTTGTATTGTGATAACCAAGCTGCTATTAACATTTCTCACAACCTAGTGTTTTAAAAGCGCAAGGTGCAAGGGTTAATTTGCGCCTGAGGTGCAAGGCGCAAGGCGCAAGGCGAGGCGTGTGCCTGTTTGAAGCAAGGCGCAAAAATACAAAAATGCTAAAAAATAAAAAAAGTCCGAAATTTCCAAAAAAATAAAAAATAAAAAATATTAAACATAATATTAAAAAAATATAAACTTAAATTTTAAAATAAATGTTTTAAAAAACCTATTATATAAAATTAAAATACTTAAACATAAGATGTAAAGCATATTCAAATGAGAATTTAAAAATAAAATCAAACATATAAAACATTTTCAAGCATGTAAAACCTCTAATCTCTTTTTTTTTTTCACTCAATTGCATTACTTCAAGAAGCAAATGTAATGTAAAACACATTACATTCCTGTTCTACGAGCCACCTTTATGCCACACTCCTTGAGGCAAGCCCAAACAAGTCCATGTTAGGTGTTAAATTCTTAGCTCTCACACAAAAAATAATGAATTTATAATTTTAATTGCTTTCTAAGAAAACATTTTATTAGGATGAATGAATGAACAATATTAGCAAATAGGGGGTTCTCGAAAGGCGCACGCCTAGGCTAAGGCGCAATGTGCACTAGGCGTGCGCCTTTTGAAAGGGCTGCACCTAGGACCTAGGTAAGGCACATACCCTGAAATGCACATCACCTATGCGCCTAGGCGTGGCTTTTAAATCACTGTCACAACCCAGTTCAGCATGATAGAACTAAGCACATTGAGGTAGACACACTTTATATGGGAGAGAGTGGCTTCATGAGAGGTGTGCCTACCTTTCTTTGCATTAGAAAAGCAGCTAGTAGATTTTCTAACTAAGGGAGTCCCAAAGGCAAAGCTTCAACATTATGTAAGCAAGTTGGGCATGATTGATATCTATGCTCAGCTTGAGGGGGGAGTGTAGTGAGAATGGGCTTTAGTGTTCTTTATTTCTTTTAAGTAATATTTAAAAGTTATGTTTCTTAATTATGGGCCTTCTTTTATTTTCTTTAATTATTTCTTTAGTGTTGGCTGCCCCATTAAGGGCATCCAAGTAATTGTGCTCGGACAGAATTATTAATAAAAGTGATGAAAGGGGGCTAGAGAGAGATGTTTGAATTCTTCTTTTCTCTCTTCCCATCTTTTCTTCTTCCACAACCTATTGCTGAAACTTCTTTCTTCTTCTCTCTTTCTCTCTTTTTTTCTTTTCTTGCATTATCTGAATGACTGTAGGTGTAATTTTCAACTATAGTGATAGGATCAGCCCTTTTGTTAGACAAAGTGAATATTGTGATTTACATTCTCTCTGGTGGAAATCTAATTTTTTTTTTGAAGAATCAAGAAAAATTTTCATTAAAAGGAAAAAGAGTTACATCCTAGCATCCTTGGTTGTCTAGATGACACACCGCATGCATTCTCAAAACTTCAAATTGAAAATGATTCTACATTACAAGGCTGTAATTCAAGGGTATTCCAGAATTTTTCTGACAAATCTGCCTTAGATACTTGATCAAAATCTGGAAGTCTGAAAACCCACTTGAAATCATATTTGTCACTGCAACTACCATGTATTCAATGTTGTTTGATCTATTCTCAAAAACTTTTCTATTTCTCTCCTTCCATATAGACCAACATACTGCAAAAGGGACACAACTCCACATCATCCTAGCTCTTTTACTGCCTCTGAGTTTTGGCCACAGAAAATATTTCTGCTGAAGTTGATGGATTGAACCCACTCACCCCAAATAGAAAAGAAAATAACTTCCATATGAAACTTTCTATACTGCATGAAAAGAACAAATGGAAAACTATTTCTTCCTCCTGATCTAAAATTACCGACAATGGATTTTATTTGTATTTGAAATTGGATTTGCAAAATGTGTTTATACATATATTATGTTATTTTCTAAAAAAAGAGGTTTCCATACGGTTTTGATCCCGGGATCCATTTGAGTAGAGGGTGTGACGCTGCATTTTGCAGTTAGGGAAGAGGTCCTACCCTATTATACAAAAAAAAGAGGGCCTTTCTTGTAAGCAATGTTTTGATTATTTAGGGTTGAGAGGTTAAGGGCAAGAGACCACTAGTGGATTGATAACCTGATGGGCTTTTATCTCACATTAGTTCAAATCAACAGAGAAGGGTTGCTGAATTGACTTCATACATACAACTGCACCATCTTCAATTAGAGGTCGATTTAGGTCTAATATTGGGTGTGAACTACCACTCTGGAGCTGCATTCAGTGTACTTTGTATCAGGTGTGATCAGTTCTAAATTATAGTTCCAGATCTGTTCCAAGTTTGGTGCAAGTTCAATCCAGAAATTCAGATTTCAAAATACCAAGAAATTGGTTCTTGGATTGGAATTGTTTTTTTTTTTTATTATAAATTTGGCCAGCAACTGTGACAGGTTTGGCCATGTTTAATTAATATCTCAGTCCATCCAACACTAAACCCAAAAAGACAACCCAAGAAATATGTAACTTTCAGCCAACAGTAGGTAAGCACTTTAGGCCACTAATTCTTCATAGCCAAGAAGAAAAACTGCCTAAATAGATTTATAAACCCTTGCCGACTTGAAGAGAAAACCTAATACTGGCTACACAGCCTTCAAAGAATCACAAACCATACTCTTGTTCAACAGACAACTCATCCGAGAGCAGGAAAACCTGATCAGCAAGGCTCACACCTGTGCCGGAATGGATCCCTTGATCCACAAACACCTAAAAACCAGGTTTACAAACCTTTAGGCCGTGTTTGGTTTGAAGGAAAATGTAGGGAAACCTTTACAAACCTTGTGTAGGTTTCCCTATGTTTCCCTTCCTTTCCCTACCTTTTCCTTCAAACCAAACATAGCTTTAAAGTTTCATCACAGCACCCAGTCATCAAAGAATAGGTTTTGCTTGGTTCTACGATCAGGGAGAAAGGAGGAAGCAGAAACTTGCTTCTCAGATCAGATTGAACAAGTTCTTCAGTCTTCAATCAGAAAAAGGATAAGTTTTTGATGGAGAAATTGAATGGATCTGCTTCTAGCACCCAGAAATGTGTTTTGATATCTTATTAAACAAGTAAAAGCAAGAGGAAATCAAGAAGAGGAGAGGGAGAGAGGGAGAGAGGGAGAGAGAAGAAGAGAAAAGTATCTTACTTAATGAAATTCTGGTTATTGATAAAAAAAAAGAGAAGTATTTTGAGGCTCAAAAATCTAGGCTGGCAGCACCTAGGTTATTACTATTTATACTAGAGTAACAATGTCTGCATGGAGCTTAAAAGTAAAATGTCTAAAATGCCCTTGCAATACTAATAATAGAATTACAACTAATTATCTTAAAACCAGTAATCTTTTGGTTCTACCCTTGACACCTCACCTCCCCTTCTACCAAGTACCCATGATTGGCTGCCATGGTTACAGGTGGAGGAGCTCTCCTGCCAAGTTCCATGCACCTTTCTTCTAGATCCTAAGGGCTTCAGCCTCAGAGGGGAAGATAAAGAGGTATTTGCTCCACTCTACTTACCTTACCCTTACCCCATAAGGGGCCTCCCATTTTTCTGCTGCCCAGCTTTGCATTCTCTCTACTGACAATCCTTTGTTATCGACAGACCCTAGTAGGAAGGCTTTCAAAAAATCCAGGTATTTGTCTCTTGTCAACAGGTTCCATTGAGATGAAGAAACAGTATGGACATGCTCTGATGGAAACTTCACCTTTTGTACTCTACTTTGGCTACACAATCATTGCTAGGTGCAATTTTGCTCTCATAAATTATTTGTTGTGGATCAAAAAGAACAAAGGAACAACAAAAAGCTTGTAGAAAGAAAGAGTTGAAATGTGCAATTATGAAAATAATGAACAATGGAAATCAAAACTATATTCTTTTTTTATCTATAAAACACTGACAAAACATTTATGATAGAATTGACAATATGATGACAAAATGTGCAATTCCATTATGTTTAAAGCACCTAAACTTTTTAAGACCATACAAAAATAGTTAGTGCTTTCATTTCAATTTGCAAACATTCCCTTTATAGACTTCTTTTGAGCATTGGACATGATTTATTGATGTCTAACCCAACTAATTCTTTAATTGAACAGGTGGAGCAGTAACAAGTTGCAAGTCATTGTTGGTACGGTATGTTTGATTACACTCAACTCTTTCTCTCTCTCTCTCTCTATCTATCTATCTATCTCTCTATCTCTCTCTCTCTCTCTCTCTCTCTCTCTCTATATATATATATATATCACACAATTTCCAACATCTTTGATTGCATTGCAGGTGGCATTTGGTATGGGAATCAATAAGCCAGATGGTGAGTATTAAATATTTACTTAATCAGATTTTTCCCCTGAACTGGAGCTGGAATGAGTAACAATTATACTTTTCCCATGCCAATTTTCTGGGATACTACCTCTATTTTTTTGATTGGTACTAACCAAGCAGTTTGCTTCCCTCTTTGTCCATAGAAATTGAGCCTTGCCTAGTCCTAGAAACAGCCCCTTTAAAAAGTCTGTGCTTGAGCATGTGCCTTGGCTCCTTCGTTTGGCCTTGCCTCAAGGGGCTCAGTACAAAGCAGCTCATAGAATCAGGGTAATGCAATTTGAAAAGAAATAAAGAGAATGAAATTTTCATGTGCTTGAATTGTTGAGTGCATGAATATGTTTTATATGTTATATTTAATTTTTTTTTGAAAATAAGTTAACTTTATTCATAAAAAGGAAGGTACATGAGGAGATGTACACAGAGATCAAACACTCAAAGAGTTATACAGGCAGAAAACTATGACTGAATAAGTAATCCCTGTGAGCACCGGATTTAGCTAGACTGTTGGCTTCAGAGTTTAGCTCCCTCGGAACCCGGCCCAAGTGTGCATTCAAGGAGGAAAGGATGTCTCTCACTTCAGCCAATGTTATATTTAATTTTATTTTTACATTTTCACTTTGAATATGCTTTATATGTTATTTTTATATATTTAAATTTGAGATAATAGGCTTTTTAAAACATTTTGTTTAAAATATAAGTTTGTATCTTTAAACTTACTATTTTTAATATTTTCTTTTGATTTTTTTGCATTTTTGAAAAATTTTAAAATTTTGCGTTTCGCTCCAAAAAGGCACGTGCCTTGCCTTGTGCATTGTGCTTCAAGCGCAAAAAGCTCCTTGTGCTTTTAAAACACTTATTGACTCTATCAATCACTGCTCATTGGAGACCAAAAATGATTGACTCTAGGGTTCCCTCCCGAAGGAAGTCCCAAGTACTTCAAAGGATAGTGCTTTGAGCATTCACCATTAGGAAATTGACGCAACAAAACAAAGTAAGTAGAAAATTATAACTTCTAACCGATCCAATGGCTAAGAAGCTACAAATAAACCCTAACAATGACCTAACTAGTGGCTGCCACAGCTTTCTTTAAATCTAATAAAATAATTTCTTCTGCTGATAAAAAAAAAAGACCTAACTAGTGACTTAAAATGGCTAGACCCACGAAGAATTTAAAATGATCAAAACTTCTTATGGCTCAAAATTTAGAAAAAATCAGAAAAAACAGGAAATTCTTAGATTCAACTTATAAGGTAATGTTATGCTGCCTATCTTGGAATGGTCAATTGGGCAAATGTAGGGCATTCCAGGGGGAAATCCATCAAGGAATCAGGTCAATCCCACAGGAATATGTTGATCTGTAAGTTAACTCGTAGTTTTCTAATGACAGGGCAATAGATGTTACACAGATCTATTTACATGAAAACTACTTTAAATTACTACATTAATTGATGTTATTGAATAACTATGTTTGCCTTATTGATTGCATCAATATCGTTGACCTAGATATTGAATGTTAAGGCTACAATTTCTGTTTATTTTGTTGTCTGTTATCATTTACCTATAACTCTTATACAGCAAGTGGCTACTTTTATAGTTTCCTGAATTTATGTTTTTGTGATTTCTGGGCTTCTCCTGTTTACTTATGTGCTCTAGTGATTCTAATACTTGTTTCTTTGTGGATTTTGCAACTTTTTATTCTTTACCACTTTTTAATAAATGATAATTGCTTATAGTCAGGTTTGTCATCCATCATAGCCTAAGCAAATCAATGGAGACATACTACCAGGTGGTTGTCACTAATTTGCTTTTTTTTTCTTTTTTTAATAATATGTTTTTTTCCCAATAGAAAAATTCTCCACTGCAGGAAAGTGGTAGGGCAGGACGAGATGGGCTTCCTTCGGAATGTGTACTGTACTATAGGCCTGGTGATGTTCCTCGTCAGGTGGACTTCATCTCAGCAAAATTCTGAAATTTTCTTTTGTTTCCTTTTTGTCATTTACTCTGATAACTTTTGGATGTGCTATTAATGTTTCCAGAGTTCTATGGTCTTCTATGAAAATGCTGGGTTGCAGAATCTCTATGACATGGTGCGATATTGTCAGGTATTATTTCTAACAAGTAACAATGGATTTTGTATGGCAGAATCTATATTACAAATCAAGTAAAACTTGTTGCATGATTTCTTGTGGTCAACCTATAAATTTCAACATGAAGTCTGCTTGCTTTTTTTGTTTTTTGTTAAAGAGGATTTTAACATATACAAAAGAGTCATAGAAACTAATCTTGTATTATTCATACTTGTAGCACGCATTTAACAGGCTGGGTTTCTTAATGCACTAACAGTTGCACTATAAAGATATTTTAGGTTAAAAATTTTAATCAATTGATTGAAATTGGGAATGAAATACTTGTCTAGTAGAGACTGTGATCAGTCCTACTCTAGATGAGAATTCAACAAGGAAAACAGAGACTAGAAGAGGAAGAAGAGAGAGAGAAAGAGGGGAAGAAAGAAGAAAGAAGTCGAAGAGAAAAGAATTCAGAAACGAGCGTGGGTTAACTTACACATTGCTGCCCCACTCAGCTATTTATATTAAATATTTAAAAAATAGTTAACTTACAATATTTCCCTTACATAACTTATCAGCAACTAAAGAAAATAACTGAAATAACTAACTTGCTGACACTACTAACATGCTAACAGCTAACAAATAGTATGCTAACAGCAACATAAATAAAGACATTATTGCCCTACAACTCTACACTCCCCCTCAAGTTGGGAGTAGATATCAGTCATTCCCAACTTGCGCAAGTTTGTCTCCAGCTTGGTCTTTGGAACTGCCTTAGTGAAGAGATCAGCAAGTTGCATGTCAGAGGCAATATATGAAAGACACTTCTTGAGAAGCAATTCTCTCTCTTTGATAAAGTGTCGATCTACTTCGATATGCTTAGTTCTATCATATTGAACTGGGTTATGGGCAATATTAATAGTGGCCTGATTATCACAATACAACATCAGGGGCTTCTCATAAGCAATGCCCAATTTTTCAAATAGAGATCTCAACCATAAGACTTCAGCCACACCATTAGCCATAGATCTGTATTCAGCTTCAGCATTGGAACGAGCAACAACATTCTGTTTTTTACTTCTCAAAGAGACAAGATTTCTTCCTATAAAGGCACAATACCCAAGGGTGGATCTCCTGTCATCAACACTTAGCCCAATCAGCATCTGTGCAGATTTATATTTTCATGTAACCATTATCTCTGAAGAGTATGCCTCTGCTTGGACATCTCTTTAGATATGCTAGAATCCTTTCAACTGCAAGAAGGTGAGTGGTTTTAGGGGAATGCATGTACTGGCTAACAACACTGACCGCATAAGAAATGTCCGGTTGTGTGAGGCAAAGATAAAGGAGTTTCCCAACCAATCATTGAAACATAACTTTATCTTCAAGGGGCTCTCCACCTTTTGCACTTATCCAATGATTTTGTTCAATAGGTGTGTTAGCAGGTTTAACACCTAGCTTTCTAGTTTCTTTCAAAAGATCGAGAACATACTTCCTTTGGGAGACAAAAATCCCATTTTTGGACCGTGCTACCTCAATTCTCAAGAAATACCGTAATTCTCCCAAATCTTTGACCTCAAACTCTTGGTGAAGCAATTGCTTAAGAGAGTCAATCTCACGGGTATCACTCCCTGTCACAACAATATCATCCACATATACAACAAGTAGGGTCAAAGAGGAGTCCATCTTCTTAATGAAAAGGGTGTGATTTGATTGGGCCTGTACATAACCGAATTTTTCAAGGGCCTATCTAGATGTATCAAACCATGCTTTGGGAGATTGCTTCAATCCATATAAGGCCTTATTTAGTCGGCAGACCTTCTTCCCTACTTTTGCATTACAGAATCTGGGAGTTAACTCCATATACACCTCATCTTTCAAATCACCATTGAGGAAGGCATTTTTGACATCCATCTAAAATAATAGTCATGAGAAATTTGCTGCAATGGATAGTAGAACTTTGATAGTATTGATCTTGGCTACTGGTGCAAAGGTCTCCAAATAGTCTATGCCATATGTTTGCTTTGCAACTAATTTGGCCTTACATTTTTCAATAGAGCCATCAACATTATGTTTCATTGTAAACATCCATCTACACCCAACCGGTTTCTTCCCTTTAGGCTGATCAACTAACTCCCATGTATTGGTCTTTAGAAGAGCATCTATCTCCACCTTCATTGCATCCTTCCACTCAGGTGCTGACAAGGCTTCCTGCATTGTTTAGGGAATGGTAATAGCAACAATATATGCCAAAAAAGACTTATAGGATGGAGATGAATTATCATAAGACAGAAACTGAGAAATACAATGGGCTGTAGATGAGGTACAACGACACTTCCCTTAATGAATTGCAATTAGAAGATCAAGATCATCAAAGGAGGAGGAGAAGGCTCAATAATGGGAGGCATGGGAGGTATCTCATCTGTCGTAGGGGGTAAAGGGACTATGGTACCTGAATTTGGAGCCACAGAGGGAATTGGAGTTGGTTTGGACTGTTGATGACCAAAATCAACCTGCCTTCGTTGCCTGTGATACGCCCTCAAATCCCAACATCTTTGACAACCCTCCTCACTACACTCCCCTTTAGTGGTTGGGACAGGTAATGTAATTTCTGATGAATGAGGTCCCATCTCACTACTCTCCCCTTGAGAATAAACTATATGATAATAGGGTACATCCTCAAAGAATGTGACATCTATAGAAACAAACTGTTTCCCAGAAATAGGCTCATAGTAGCAATATCCTTTTTTATTTTGTGCATACCAAAGAAAGATACATTTCAAAGCTTTAGAATCAAATTTAGAGCAATGAGGTCCAAGAATCTGAACAAAGCAGGTGTATCTAAAGGTTTTAAGAGGAATGGTAAACAAGTTTTTATCATGATATAATAGGTTAAATGGAGTTCTCATGTTAAGGACCTGTGAAGGAACTTGGTTAATGAGGTACACAAAAGTGTGGGTAGCATCTCCCTAGAAACGTATGAGAACATTGGAAGTTAGCATAATGCTTTTGGCCACCTCCAATATTTTCCTATTTTTCCTCTCAACAACCCCATTTTGTTGAGGTGTATGGGGACAAGTGCTCTGATGGAAAACCCCATGGTCAAGGAGATATGAAGCCAATGGTTTCACAAAGTACTCTTTAGCATTATCGGATCTAAAAGCTTTGATTTTGACCCCAAATTGGGTCAAATCCATCTAATGAAAAATCCAAGTTAGGTTAGGGACCTCATCTCGAGAACGCATAAGATACACCCATGAGAAACAAGTGTAGTCATCAACAAACAACAAAAAATATCTATATCCCTCCATAGCAGTGATGTGATATGGTCCCCAAACATTAGTATGCACAATTTCAAAAGGAATACTACTTTTATTGCTCAAAGAATAGGTTGTTCTACAATGCTTTGCAAGTTTACAATTCTCACATTTTAAACTAGACATTTGAACTGATCCAAACAAACTAGGAAATGAACTCTTCAAAGACCTTAAAGACAAATGACCTAGCCGATTATGCCAAAGCATAACCTCGCTTACAGACTGAGAAACTAATGACCTTCCCACTTCTCTATCTTTCCAATGTGAATGCCCTCCAAACAGGTAAATTCCATTCATCTCACGGCCAATCCCAGTCACCTTCCTTGTCTCCAGATCCTGAAAAACACACCGATTAGGAAAGAAAGTCATTGAATAGTTTTGATTTTTAGTGACTTTCTTTTTGTCTTTAGGATACAACCCAAGGAAGCTAAGAAGTTGGAGAAACTAATGAGGGATTTCCTATGGGAATCAAGACAATGGAAGAAGGACCATTTGGTAAAGTGGGAAGTTGTGTGCAGAAGCAAAGAAGAGGGAGGGTTGGGTCTAGGTAAGGTGATTCAAAAAAACCTAGCATTGTTGGGGAAGTGGTTGTGGCAATGGCCTTTGGAGAGAGACAGATTATGGCATGAAGTAGTGGGAAGCATTGATGGCAACTTAGAGAATGGGTGGGATGCTGGTGTATCAAGGCAGGCTACTTTGACAACACCTTGGAAAGCCATTCACAGTGTTCTTCCTCAGTTTCTCAGGTTTGTCAGGTATGATGTTTGCTCTGGGAATAGTGACCGGTTTTGGGAGGATATTTGGGTCGGTAATCTTCCTTTAAAGGACCTTTTGCCTTCACTTTTCTTTGTGTCTTTGTATAAAAACGAGGTCATTTCAAACTTTATCACAATTAAGGGTAAACCTTTGGCTCCAAATTGTGACTTTGGTTTTCATAGGGGGTTAAGGGATGAGGAAATTAATTCCTTATCTAATCTATTATGTATCTTGAATCAAGTTTGTTTGGAACCGTCTAAGACAGATAATAGGATTTGGGTTCCTCATCCCAAAGGGACCATTTCTTGTGCTTCCTTTTTTAAGTCCCTTTGTCAGTTTCCCTCTTAACAGGTTTTCCCTTTGTTATGATTCGGCCTGGCTTGGAGTAAAGTTTGTCTGAGATCAGTCACGTAGAGAGAGGTAGAAAGGTGGAAGAAAGAGAGAGAGAGAAAAGAAGAAAATCTGGTTCGAACTGGAAGTCAAAGAACATAACCCCCATTCNAGGTAGAAAGGTGGAAGAAAGAGAGAGAGAGAAAAGAAGAAAATCTGGTTCGAACTGGAAGTCAAAGAACATAACCCCCATTCGGCCAGACATGATCTTTTATTATTAAAATTAATGGAAAAGACATATGTGCCCAGTAAGGAGCACTGGTTCTAACACAATATTACAGATCAACAACCTTAATCTAAGTATAAAGACAGAAATACCCCTACGCTAACACTCCCCCTCAAGCTGGTGAGTATATATCATATACTCCCAACTTGTTACATATGTAGTCCACTCTYCCCCGACTCAAGCCTTTTGTAAACAAGTCTGCCCATTGGTTTCCTGTATTGACATATGTAGTGTCTAGCTCTCCATTCAGCACCTTCTCCCTCACAAAGTGACAATCAACCTCAATGTGCTTGGTTCTTTCATGAAACACTGGATTGGAAGAGATATGAACCGCTGCCTGATTGTCA